ACATATGGGCCTACATGTTAATGGCCAAACTAAATGGTTTGTTAAGGAGCAGGCTCCAATTGTCATAATCATGATCAATTACAAAGCACTCTGTGATTTGGGTTTTTTGAAAAAGCCGACGCCGAAACTGGTAGCTATCAGCGACAAATAAATTTTTGATAATTTTTTTAGAACCCTAACACGAAAAGTGATAGTTTTATGCTATTCACTCATAAAATAGTGAAATATCCACTGGTATATTTCCCTGGAGATAAGCTTGGTGGAAGCCTGTTGATTGACTCGGCTATGGCCATGTTCTTCCATTGGTTTCTCTAGGCGCTTGATGGAAGCTTCATTGAAGTTCCTCCTTCGAGACAAGCTATCCAGTTCAAGTTGCTTATCTACCACATGTTTTTTTGGCAATACTTCCTTGCTGTGTATATATAGCGAGATAGCACCAAATGTGCGTACAGCTATTCAGTCAAAGTTGCAGCCCAAGTTGGTACGTATCTAGTGCTGTCCCAATCTGAATAATTCATCCCAAGTGGACTGTAGTGACTTATATGGTCAGTTTATGTGAAATCTGCTGAGAAGTACAAACTCGAGCTTCGTTTCCAGAAATGCTTTGAGAAAAACACAGAACCAATCTGCTTGGGATTGAGGTATTTCTTCCATAAAGCAGCGAGCATCAGCAGTGTAATGGAAACAATAAGTTGAAATATAAAACACAAGGAGTGATGCATGCCAGGAAAACCCACTGTTTAAGTTCAATGCTGAACCTAAACTATGGGACAAAAAACCTGTTACGCACTACTCCCGCTTATTTAGTACAATTTTTAACTAGACGCAAATCAAATAATAAAACAAGGAAACCCGACCGAAAGCAAAATTTACGGCAAGCGGAGTAATTAGCTGTATCTGACTGTAGTTTGAAACTGCTTGGGCTTAGGGAGACTCTGACTCACCGACTTGAGCTGCTTCAAAGCTTGATCCAGGGAACCGTTGTCGTTCTCACCACCGATGTAGACCTCTTTAAGGCTCGTTAGGTGCTGGATGCCAATGATGGTCCTCTCCATGCTTGCAAAATCCGTTGCAAACGTCTCGAGATTTGCCATGGAGCCTTCCTCAAACTGGATAATCTTGGGCCCTTCAGCATCACTAAGTGAGAGATCTGTGAGTGCCGGGAATGTGTGCCTGGAGCGTGCAACCAGCTCCGTGCCACTGTAGCTCATTTTCCCCATGTTGATGCTCTTCAAGTTGGGCAACTTGCATAGGACGTCGTACAGTTGGTCATCGACAAGGCGTGCCCATGTAATGGTGATTTGAGCAAGAGAACTGAGTGACCTGACCCAGCCGGGCAACTCAGAAATGCCGCCAGCAATCCTGAGGTAATGTAGTGACAGCGATGGGCTCATTTCAATTATAAAGTCCAAGGAGTTGTCGTCCCAACCAATGTCGCCAATGTTGAGGGACCGAAGGGAGCGCACCTTGCTTAGGGATTTGGCGAGCTGAGTGAGAACATTGGAGTCGGAGCAATTGACATACAAACACAGATCTTCCAACTGTTCTAGTTCAGCAATCTCACGAGCAACCTCATGGTTCTCATCCATAAGCATGTTTGTCACCACACGCAGTGCCTTCATCTTGGAGAGCCCTTTTCCTGGCCTCCACATAGTATACCATTCCTCCTTATTGCTAAATGTCAGGTGCTCGAGTTTTGCTAGCTTGGTCACAGTTCCTGGTAGCTCAGAAAGCAATGTGCCAGAAGCATGAAGTGCCTGTAAATGCTCTAGGTCGCTGATACGTGGAGGTATCACAGTGATATCTGTACCACACAAGTTCAAGAACCTGAGAAGGTACATCCGGCAGACATGTTTCATATGACAGTCTTTCAGTCCCTTGCAATTTGCCAGGTCAAGGACCCTGAGCAGCTTGAATTCACCTAGTCGATCAAGAAGGTTGCTGTCATGGGACTGGAATATGACCAGTGATCGGGCATGTTGCAACTCTATATCTTCAAAACCACGCCTCACACTTTCTTGTTTCCGAAATGGGGAGCAAAGCCCCAGCCTCAAACAAAGCACCTTTGTGGTTTTGTTGGACCAAGACTCGTTGGTAACTTCTTCTTCTTCTTCTCCTTCTTTTCTTATCCTTCTTCTTCTTCTCCTTCTTCTTCTCCT